GTCCGGCTGTATGCTGACAGAGCCTGGCTCAGAGCCGGCTCAGAGCCTGGAGCCTGTTTCAGATTCTGTGTCTCCCTCTCTCCCTGCCGCTCCCCTGCTTGTGCTCTATCTCTCCTTCAAAAATAAATAAACATCAAAAAATAAAAAAATAAAAGACAGTTGCGTGCTCTACCGACTGAGCCAGCCAGACGCCGCCTAAGTACTTTCTAAGTATTAACCCGCCGACGGTCCAGGGCTAGGAGTGGTTTGGTAGTTGCCCCTACTCTACAGATAAGGAAACTGAGGTTCAGAGAGGCCAAGTCACTTGAACAAAGTCACAGAGCAGGGAACAAACCCAGGCCACCTGGCTCCAGCGTCTGTGCTCTGAGCTCCCCGCCCGCCCCCACAGACTGACCCTTTCCTGGGGATGATGATGGGCCTGGGAGGAGGCATGGACTTCGACTCCAAGAAGGCCTATCGGTGAGTCCTGGGCCTGTGAGGGTCAGGGCCAAGGTGAGAGGGAGGGTGTGAAGATACACGGACTGGGAAGAGCGGGCAGGGCCCTGGGACAAGCCTGGGAGCTCTGACTGTCCCACCCACAGGGACGTGGCCTGGCTGGGTGACTGTGACCAGGGCTGCCTGGCCCTTGCTGACCTCCTTGGATGGAAGGTAAGGAGTTGGGCCACCTCGGCCCACCCTGAGCCCAGTCCCTAGTCCCCTGCCCCGCAGGTTCTCTGACCCCAGGATGCACGGTGACCTCTGACCTCGGTGAACTTTGCCCCCCGCAGGAGGAACTGGAGGACCTCGTCCGGAAGGAGCATGCCAGCATAGATGCCCAGCAGGCGGGGTCGGGGAGCCCTAACCCCAACCCTTCAACTTCGCCCAGGAAGTCCCCACCTCCTGCCAAGGAGGAGGCCAGAACCTCGGAGGGAGAGAAACCCCAGTGACAGCCACGTCCCCCGGGGAAGGATGCCCAGCAAATCTGGGACAGCAGAGCCCCAGCCAGCCCTGGCCCCCTCTAACTTGCAGCTCTCATCTGGGGAGCTCAGAACCTCGTCCCAGTCTCTTAACCACTTCCTCTCAAAACTGGGTTCCCAGCCCCCTGACCCTGGCAGATCTCTAACACCTCCCAGGGGCCGAGGCCTGGGCAGTCCGGCTGTAACAGCCCGCGGTCTCTAACCACCCGCAGGGCCGAGGGTCAACCTCCCCTCATCTCTAACTGCTCCCGGGCCAGGGCCGCCTCTAAACTCCTAACTATTCCGCCCCGGGCCCCAGGGCTCCCAGGGCTCCCATGCCCTCCACTGCTCCTCGGGGCCTGTGGCCAAGTAGGGCCAGTCCAACCTACCCTGGGCGGGCCCCTCAAACATCACTCCCACTCAGTGGGGGGAGCTGAGCCTGAAGGCCTCCCTGGTCTGTGTCTCCGACGCCCGAAGCGGGTGCCGGTCCCCTTCCCTTGGGACCCACTTCCCATGCGGGGAGGGGCAGATAATGTTGCTTATTGGAGACAAATTAAAAACAGAAACAACTAACGATCAGCTCTCCAGCCTCCCAGTTCCTTTCTGCGGGCACACGGGGAAGCAGCCGGAGGGCGGGTGGCAGGGAGACTAGAACACCTGCAGGCTCTTACGAGAAACAGCAGAGGGTGTTGACGGGGACTCCGGGGCCTGCGACAGCCCCGTGGCTCTTCCCCGTGGGCCCCCAGATGGCCAGAGTCCCTTCCTCCAAAGCCTGGTCACCTAAGGTCTGAGCCCCCAAAAGAGGGGAAGGTTGGTTTCAGATACCCCCCCCAGCCCCGCCTCTTCCCCCACCCGCTCAGCTTCCTCTCTCTGTGAGGAACACTTTCACTTCCTGCTAC